TAATTCATCCAGCAGAGGAAAAGGCACCACTGGTTTTTCTTTCTTTCCTTTTTGTTTTCTTGTTTTGTTTTGGTTTGGTTTTTGAGACAGGGTCTTGCTATATAGTTCAGCCTGGATTGAACTCACAGCAACCCTCCTGCTTCAGCCTCCTGAGTGCTGAGATTAGAGGCATGTACCACCTTGCCTGGCCTGGTTTTTCTTAAGTGAAGAAATACTTGATGAAAGCAGTCTTTTAAGGAGATTGCAGAGCCAGTTAGAAGAGCAGGGCAGTGGGGAGTGAACAGCAAGTAGAAACAGTAATCTAGGTCTTCGATGCCATATATGTAATGTAACTGATTTTTTTGCAACAAAAACTCTACATTAAATATATACATTGACTATAAATAAATCTTGATTTTTAGGTTTATAAAATAATTGGAAAAACAAAAATCTCAGAATTAAGGAAATACAATGATACAGAAGACCTAAACAAAGACTGTAGGAATGTAAAGGGAAAAACAGATGCAAGAAACTTTTTGAAGAATTTGGTAGATTGGGTGTTATGAGTCAGAGAGAGTGGACATTAAAATTCAACTGTGTGACTTTGAGTGTGAATGAAAGCATGACAGGGCAGTACCAGTAAAAGCAATAGGGAAGCCAGGAGGGAAAATGTGAACTAAGTTTTCTGTAGGTGCAGAGTTTGAGGTGTGGACCTGGAGCTGGGAGGAAAGGTCAGGCTGGAACAAGTATCTAAGGAATTACTTCCATGGAAATCAAAGTAGAAGACTTAAGAATGAGAGAAATTCTGGCTGGGTGTCGTGCCACACTCCTGTAATCCCAGCACTCAGGAGGCTGAGGCAGGAGGATCACTGAGAGTGCGAGTTTGAGGCTGACCTGCGCTCTACAGTGAGTTCAAGACAAGTCTGAACTACATAGTGAGACCCTGTCTCAAAAAAACAAAACAACATGAACAAACAAAAGGAGAGCGAATATAATTCTGTTAGATGGTATATGTAGAGAACGAAGGGCAGCATAATCATCAATGCTCACATTCAGGAGGAGGAAGGGGTGTAGGGAAGAAAAACAAATAATTTGAAAGTAGAGCTAGATTCATTCAAGAATAGGGGCATGAAAGATTTGAGAACAGAGAGGCTGAGGCCTTATATTCATGATTAGGCTTTGTAGATGTTAATTATGTATATCTCTCTAGACGTGTCTTAAGCATTTCTGTAGGGTGATATTGTTTTGCGATGGGGTCTTGCTATGTTACTCAGGTTGGTTTTGAACACTTGGGCTCAAGAGAATCTCCTGCCTCAGCCTTCTGAGTAGCTGGGACTACAGGTATGTGCCGGGCAGGTACAGGTATGTGTACCTTGCTTTATGTAGGTATTAAAAAGCCTACTTGGGTATTCCCAAGGAATATCCACATGGGACCCCTCAGTCGTTAGCTGTATGCTGAGGACCAAATGTGGATGATTACTCAGCTTCAGGAGTTTTGGACAAGTACCTTGGTTATTTCCTTAGCTTATGTTAGGATATCATGCAATTTTTCCAAAGGCCTGTTGCTGGTATTGAGTGCTGTTGATCCTTTTATAATGTTGAAAAGAATATACCTCCTGTGAAACTTTTAACAAGCGCCTATTTTAGAACATAATTGCGCTGATCCAACTTTTTATAACAGAATTGAAGTTAAAGGCAAACTAGTTTTTAACACTTTTCCAATCCTTCTGGAATAGTTGTGCCAATTAAACTTTCTGAACTTCTATTAGGGATGATTGTGTGCTCTCTGGCTTACGTCATTTCCCTAACAACCAGACAATAAAGTAATTTATCTCATAGTCCATACAGAAATAATATATTTTAAAATCCCAATAAAGGACAATATTTCACAAAAAACAAACACAAAGTTGTATTTATTTATACCTTTATTCTACATTTGGGAAAGATAACATGGAGATAGCTCACCACCATAGGTGCTCTAAGAAGCTGACTAGGGCTGGCTGGGCTTAGTAGCACAAACCCATAACCCCAGCAATTTTGGGTGGCTGAGGCAGGAGGATCAATAGTTGAAGTTCTGGGCTGGGGTTGTAGCTCAGTGGCACTGCGCCTGCTTCCCAAGTGCAAGGTCCTGAGTTTGATCCCCAGTGTGTGTGTGTGTGCGTGTGTGTTCAAGTCCCATCTGGGTGACTTAGTAAGATTCAGTCTAAAAAATAGGGATGGGGTGGGGGGATGTAACTCAATGTGAAGGCGCCTGGGTTCAACCCCAGTACTCAGAAAGAAGCGGGGGAAGGAAGGAAGGAAGAAAGAAAAGAAAGAGAGGAGAGGGAAGGAAGGAGGGAGGGAGGAAGGAGATGGGAAAGGAAGGGAAGGGAAGAAGAAAGGAAGCCAGCGATCTAGTTGGGTGGCGTGATAAAATTATAATAATTGGGACTATGAATACTGATTAAATGCTCTAAAATATGAACTTCAAAAGGTCTCTCTTCCAGTCTTGAATATTTTAATCAGTGCATTTGTGAACACATCTTTTATCCTCCTGTTCTTGTGAGCCAGAAGGTGATACATACAGTTCTGGATGTGACTGAATTATTTTAGCCAATGTAACTTATTATTATTTGTTTTTGTACTGGGGATTGAACTTGGGTTCTTACACTTGTGAGGCAGGCAGTGGAACCACTGAGCTAAATCCTCAGCCCTGGCCAATGTAATCTTAATCCTTAAATGTTTTTTTCCTAGAGGAAAAGTCTTTCTTCTCCTATATGGTATAGCCTCATAGGGCTACTCAGTGTGATAGAAGCAAGTCTGTCATGAGGAGGCTGTAAACAATCTGACCTACACAGTGGTATCTGGATTGTAAGGTGTGTTTGACCTCTACACACTAGAAACCCTGACAATTAAGTGTTGTGGCTGAGGTACAAAGCAGGGCGATGGGAACAGTTAAAGGAGATTTTTATTAAACAGAACTATCCAACTTAGTACGGCAATTGGATGCTTTTATTTTTATTTATTTATTTATTTGCATGTCTTGATTGATTACTCAGGGCAGAAATGGCAAATAAATCACACTATCTCTGCTCCCCTTCCATCCTAAGCAAACGGCAGACATTAAAGTACTCTTTCCCATCAAACTCTTCCTCAGTCATTTTCGCCATAGCTCTCTAGGCAACCATTATCAATGAGTTGGAGTTTGGGATTAAAATACAGCTACAGCTGGAAAGTCTCCCTAACTTACAGCCTCTGATTGCAAGGAACAGGGCATCCTAAGACCGAGAGGATTTACTTTAAATTGATTGAAACTAGAAAAGTGTTCAGATGCAGGACAAGACAGGTACTAGATGCTTTTGCATTGGCCCATCTGTCTCCCCTGTGACAGCACAGGTGTATCTATGTGTCTGAGGTGCTCCTCTCACATCCACATGGCCAATGCTTTGTATTTGCTCCTCCCCAAATGCTCCAGAGAACTAGTTTAACACACTTAGTTGATTACCATTTTATTAATTAACTAACCATAGCTTTGGTGCCAGTTTTTTTCTTGGATTATGGATAGGAAGCTCTTAAGTAGGCAGCCCATGAACACTGGTAATTTTTTTTCCCTTTTAGCCTTTTTATCTTGTGAAAATTCAAAATTCAACGTCTGCTTAGGTATTTTACATTTCAGTACAATTTTTTTTAAAAAAACCTTGTTTAAATTGGTATCGTTTTCTTTTTTTAGAAGTATAATTTCTTTGTTCCCTTTTCAATGCTGGGGATCAACCCCCAGGGCCTTGCACATGTGAGGCAAGCACTTTAGCTCTGAGCTAAACGCCCAGCCCACATTTTATTTTTTTGAAAGCTGTATTTAACTAGCAGATCAGGAGAATGCTGTCCACATTTATATTTTATTTTAATGAAGTTATATTTAAAAATCTCTCAGGACTTTGATGTAATTCAGATATTTCAGCTAGATAACAAAAGTGGTATGTGTATTCTTAACCAATGGAACAGCTTACCCAAAAAATGATGACCGAGATCAAGCCGATACAGGTTTCTGTCATAATGTGTAAGGACTGGCCTTAGGCATTTCTGCTTTCTGTGCTTTGGTCTCCTTATCTATAAAATGGGGGGTGACAGAATGTATATCTTAAGGTTGTTATAAGTAATGAATGAATGTCGATCAAATGTTTAGAGTAGTAGACAACTAATACATAGGTAGAATTTACAGACTGGCAGAGTATAATAATTAAATCCAAGTAACCGCCAAAAAATATTCCCAAAGTGACCAGATGAGCATCTCTCAGGAATGCTGAAGAAACATCTCCTTCTTTGATGAGAAGGTGTGATTGGATACTCTCATAAATTACAGCAGGGCATGGTGGCGCACACCTGTAATCCCAGCACTCCGGAGGCTGAGGCAGGAGGATCGCTGAGTTTGAGACCAGCCTGGGGCTACATAGTGAGTTCCAGGTCAGTCTCAACTACATAGTGAGACCCTGTCTCAAAACAAAAGCAAACAAACAAACAAACAAAAGAACATCAAAATTCATCAGCAGCTATGCCAACCCTGTCCTGCCGTGCCTTCCTGGACCTCCCTGGGCCTTGGAATTTACTAGGGGTTTCTTGCAGCGGAAGTCGAAGCTAACCTGCCTGCAACACTGGGCTACCTCCTCATCATTTGAGCCGTCTAGCAGACGCGGCCAGGGGAGGCGAGGCTTAACTCCAGGCACAGCTCCCGGCCTGACCCGCGGCAAGACAGTATTGCTCTGGTGTTGGTCTATGAAATGACTGAGGGAATCGAAAACCTAAGAAATGCCAACGTGGGTGTAAGGCCAAAGCTCTCCCTTGGGAAGACGTGTCTCCGGGGAGTGGGGGCAGACCGCCTCAGGTGGCAAAATAAATTAGCAAGCAACTCCCGGCAGGGGCGGGGACGCCACACAGACGGAAGACTTCCCCCGCCGGGAAACTGACCTCCAGAAAACCGGGGGAGGCGGTGGAGTGGGATAGAAACGAGCCAATCAAGAGCACCCTTTCTGGTGACGTCACGGCGCGTTCGCTGATTCGGCGCTCGGGGTGGGTGCGGAGGGGCGTGCGAGGTCCACAGCCTGGGTCGAGCGACGAGTCATCGCCCACGAGCCCCGGGAGCGGAAGCCTTGGGGTAACTGGCTGGCGCCCGGCCTTTCCAGCGCTCTGTTGTGCTCTCGGCCACCAAGTGCGGCGGCAGCGGGCGGCGGCAGTACGAGCCCCGGGAGCGGAAGCCTTGGGGTAACTGGCTGGCGCCCGGCCTTTCCAGCGCTCTGTTGTGCTCTCGGCCACCAAGTGCGGCGGCAGCGGCGGCGGCGGCAGCGCAGGAGGAAGCCTCTTGACCCGCACTTGGTGAGAGCCGCGCGTCTGCTGGGGACATGGGAGAGCATCCTGCCGGACCATGGGGCCTCCTCCTCCCATCCCAGTTCCCCTCCCTGCACCCCGCAGCCTCGTTCTGCGCCGCACCCACAGGCTGGCATCCCGAGCCAGGCCTCACCTGTGGCCGGCGGACCGCAACATGGCAGGTTGCCGGTGTAGCAGACCCGCTCGGCGCGAGTAGGGCCAGAGGGAGGCCTGGCTCGGCTCCAGCCCCACGGGCGGTGCTGCCCTGCGAGGAGAGGCAGTGAGTGTCGCGTCACGCGGCGGCGAGGAAAGGTAGAGAGAGATGCGTGGCACGCGTTGCTCTGGGTGTAAATGCTGCACTGAAGGATGGTCTGGAAGGCCTCGCCCGGGTCTGCCTTGAACTTCGGCTTCCTCGACATCTGATGGGTGGTGATGTCGCTGCCCAGCCCTGAGCACACTTGTAAAAATGTTCAGAGCAAGAGGAAATGTGCTTTGCTCCGCTGATAGGCACTGGTGAGGTACAGCTTATCATTTCACTTAACTGGTAAACCCAAGGAGTTCTGAAAGAAGTCAAACCGAATAAAAGCTCAGGAATAGGGTTCTGGGCTTCGGACTTCTTTATATAGCCCTTTTGTTCTTATTGCAGTGAGTCTCATCTCTCCCTATAGAGCAGGATAATAAGACACCGTTACAGGAACTCAGCTCCCAGAGTGCACCGTATGGTTGAGGAACACGGATGAGAAGACTTTCTAGATAGCCTCTTGTGACTTTTCAGTTATGTTTATTTAGTTATCTGAGGTAGGGTCTTACTATGTAGTTCAGGCTGGTCTCGGACTTGGGGCAGCCCACCTGCCTCAGCCTTCTGAGTGTTGGGATTACAGACGTGCACCAAACCTGATGACTTTTTCATTTTTAAATCATGTGAATATACTGCCTAATCAAGAAATAAGTTAAATTGAATTTAAAAATCCTCCCCTGCCTTGGGTTCAGTCACCAGTACCCA